AGCAAAGCCGTTGTTGTTGTTTTGAATGTAGCGCCCTCTAGCGGCATCTAAATCTTAGGTATTGTAGCTTTAATAGTCATTTATAGTATGCGCTTTACTTAGGTCATCTAAGTAATTTATGTATACATCATGTCAGACATTAAGCCTCAAGTGAATGCAAACACCTCAATACTTGGTAGACAATTCACAATGGCGGTAACATTTGATGGGTTGTTTTTGTGTTTGAATGTGTCATTTTAAACAAATAATTTACTCGAAATGTCACAAAATGGCAATTTACTAATACTGACAACAAAAATCAATGATAAAACAGTGCAAATACAGCTGGAAACCAGTGAAAAATGAGCCTCATTAATTATTCAATGTCCAGTGCATGATGGGAACCCCAGTATCCGAAAAGTTGAGTATTTTTTACTTAATTTTATTGAGTTGATATTTACACTTTCATTTCTACTCGCTTGAATTAAGTACTGATATGGAATTTACTTCGTTTTTTAAATTCTTGCCTGAACTAACTTTTTCAGAAAATTACATTGGGGTTTTTAACTAGTATTTACTTCACAAAAAAATCAGGTCAAAATGCTTCCCAAGGCGTCAGTTAGATGACGCCTTGGGATGAGAATGGGCTGAAATATTACAATATTCATGATGACTTTTCTTAACTCTACAATAGGTAAATCCTCTTCGACAGTGATGCATGATGGCATAAAACTTTTGTGTTTAACGGTTATTTCGGTATATGTTTACGGGCTGATAAATTCATAACATTTTATTACAATTAAAAATGAATTAAACAAAATTATTTACTAAATACATAAAATGATCACATGATGGGAAACCCCAAAGGTTCCTTTTTTTTTACTTTAGATGTTTCTAATTGCACACAGCTATGCAACAAAAGGCAAGACAGAACAAAAGTGCAATTTTTAGTGAGTCATGCCAATAACCCACACTAAACCTGAAACTATGAGAGGAGGGGGGGGGGGGGGGTGTATCAAACGTGCTTGCCTCTGCACTGTGGTTACTGTAAAATTTTGGTGAACTGAATAAGCTGACAGGAAGACTTGTTTTTCACTCTGCTATTTTCTATCCATCTTTCAGCAGCAATACAATGCAGCACTATCAAATCAGTTATGCAAAATAACAGAACTCTCTCTCTCTCTTTCACAAACCCCACAATGAGAAACTCTCTTTAAGTGTGTGCGTGGGGTGGTAAACCTTACGTTATGGGTACCAAATGCCCCTGCAAAAAGTAATACCAGAAATGTTTACCTTGATCTTTTTTTTTTTTTTTTTTTGGTCCCCATGAGGAAAAAAGCTTATAAATCATACTACATTTTGATGTTGTTGTTGTTGTTTTATGTAAAAATGCAGAAAGTTTTCTGTGAGCCTTGTGTTTAGGATTAGGGGAAAGAATATACAGTTTGTACAGTATAATAATCATTATGTCTATTGAAAGTCCCCATAAAACATGGAAACCCAACATCAGATGTCAGTAAATAACTGCTCACGCACATCTCTCTCTCATTCTTGTGGCAGTAGAAATTAGGTACAAACAACCCTAAAATATTCACACAGTACACTCTCTTAAACACATGGACTTCCTGTTTATCCGACTTGACAGTAGAATGGGTCATGCTGTGCTTCCTGTGTTTTTAATAAGTCATGTCATAGATCCAGGCTAACTACAAGAGCCAGGCCGTATACAGCCCTAAATAGTCAAGATTAGACATGCAGAGAGAAATATTTGCATGTCAGTGTGTCTGTGAGTATTTCATGAATAGCACACTGTTGTAAACTTTCTGTAGAAACGTGCAGACTGGTATTGCTAATCAGTTATTTGCTAATACAGCGGGATGTCGACATGTTGCATGGATGCAAACGTGTGTGAGAGTTTGCATACTGCATCTTAATGTAGACCTCAACACTTCCTGAGTACAGTTTGCCAACAGGTGATCCCCATAAACTCTCAAGAACAGAACACAAAAGTTTATTCACAACTCAAAGCAGTCATGTTTTACTAAAGAGGTTAACATAGTTTAAAAACTAGAAATCCAACTAGTACTAATTTTTTATTTGCAAATAGCAGGCAATAATACGTAATTACGTTCAAAAGGTCACGGGCGACCTAGCCGTAAGTACAGAGTCAGTGTTTACAAGTTGAACGCATAGGTTGAACGTGCAAACTAACTCAAACGCTGTTTACAAAAAAAGGAATTAAAAGGTAAAACAACGATATCGGACGATTTTGATTCTGTACTTCCGGCTACGTCGCCCGTGACCTTTTGAACGTAATTACGTATTACGTGACGTTGCAAACGCGCCTCACAGAATAGAGCAAGGCTAGCATTTGTCCTTAGAAACGTTACAATTTTGGAAAAAGTTTTGAAATAACCGATCGTTTCGCATGATAAGACCCTTATTCATCGTCTGGTGTCGTTTAAAGACATTTGAAGCTGCATCTGAAACTGTAATTAACTGTCTTTTCGACCTTGGACCGTCTGGTTCCCATGTAAGTCCATTATATGGAGAAAAATCCTGGAATGTTTTCATCAAAAACCTTAATTTCTTTTCGACTGAGGAAAGAAAGACATTGACATCTTGGATGACATGGGGGTGAGTAAATTATCAGCAAAAGTTTTTTCAAAAGTGAACTAATCCTTTAAGTTCAGATTTTTATTTTACAGGTTTTCACATCAGAGCTGTGAGTGTAAATGTTTGCGTTCAAGTGTGAATATTTATTCTACAATTTCTCAAATTCACATCTACATGCTCTCGAGTATTGCTACTCTTTTACCTTCATAATATGATGACCTCTTAGATGTCAAAAGCTCAAGGAAAATTTGATTTCTCAGTTCATCACCCCTTTAATATATAACATTTTAATTTAAATGCAAATAACTCAAAATTACGTTTCCGAAAACATTACATTCAATTTGCAATTAGGTATATTCTTTTAAAGTACTCAAATATATAGAAGAACAACAAAGTGCAATGTGTGTGTGTGTATTGTGAGAATCTGCCATTCTTAACCAGTGAATGTGAAAGACCCATGAGAGAAGCGGATGAGGTTTCATCAAACAATTTGTGAATTAACCCAACACACACACACAGGCACACATAATCATGCCTTAATTAAACTAGTATAGCAATTGACCAGCACTGCTTTGAACCAATAAAGTGGCACTGATAGACTGAAACTTTCTCCTGTAAAACATATCACCAATTTTCATCATTCTTCTCGGTGAGTCATTTCTTGCAAACCTCCTCTCTGCACATCTTCTATCTAAAAAAAGCTCTGCAGCATTCTTTTTTTAAATCTTGAGCTTAATCCAGCTTTCATCTCCAATATGCTGTTATTTTATGTCTGTCTCAGTCTGACAGAGACAAATATGTGCATATTCCACAATAGCAGGTGTCAATTTATATGACATATTTCAGCTTTCTTTCTTAATTCAGGCCCTTGTTTTTCCACTAATAGGTCTGAATAAATTCCACAACCATTCCTTTTAAGTCTTTATTAGTGAACATTATCCTTTGCATTATGTCTTTTTCTTTGCTTCTCGCTCTCTGGGCTGTGGGATTGACTTTCCCCAGGTCAGTAAGTTATTTCTCTGCTCTACTTAGAGGCAATAACTCTTCAAACTGCCAGTGAGACTGATTTACTTTATTATCCATGTATATTTCAACCCACGCTCATTGGAAAAACGTGCCTGTGGCTAAATTTCCGTAAAATTATAAAATGTTGCTCCTTGCACATTTTGCAATTAAAAATGTTGGATAGCTCACCAAAAAAATTAACCCTCAAGTTGGTCCAAACCTGAATTTCATTCTTCTGTTAAATGAAAAAGGAAGATATTTTGAAGAATATGGGTAACCAAACTGTTGATTGGCCTCACTGACTGAATTGTATTTTTTTCTTCCATTTCATGGCCGTCAATGGGGTAAAACATCGTACTGCTGTCATGTATTTATAATTTCTTTTTACCCCTGACCGAAGTATATCAGGCCTTTAGTTTACAAATCATGCACTGTGTTAAAAGCATTCTGAGCTCATAATAACATAGTGCACTGTGCACTAGTGTTTCTGTGTTTCATTTTTTAGGTAGAAACTGCAGTGAATTGTATGTCCCTTTTTGTATAAATGTGGGTAGGCTCATTGAAAAAAAATGCACTATGTTAGATTATTCATTACTAGTCAGGTCTAAATAATGTCTTCCCCAGTGATCCGGCAGTAGTTGATCATGCCATTACAACAGTGAGTGACCAATGTCCTGCCATGGCCTTTCTAACTCTACCCCAAAAACATCCATTACAGTGTGAAAATGCAGGGAAACCATCTGACCAGTTTGCCTGTAGCCTCAGTCCTTGTGGAAAAAGTCAGCGATGCCTCATTTGATGATAATGTCATGAGAAGTCATTTTTGGAAGTGTCTGTCTCAGTCTTCAGAGTGAGACAGAGAACACATTGTATTGCTTAAAGTTAGTTCTCCCCAAAATTAAAATCCAAAAATCTTTTACTCACCCTCATACCATTCCAAACCTGTGTGCATTTGTTTCTTCCACAACAAGAAAAATATATTTGGACCCCACTGACTATGCATGAAAGATGTTCCATTAGAAAGAAATACAGAGAGGTTTGAAACAACATCAGGGTGAGTAAATATGAGGGTAAAACATTCCTTTAAGATCAAAACGGCTTAGAAAAGCTTTCTTAAACAATGTATCAGCATTGCACCACACGGTGTATCAAGAAGAGCTTACGGCAAATGCAAAATAGACAAACAGAACTGTCAGTAGCCTATATAACTAAAAAAATAACCGCAAGGCGTGAAATAAGCTTCTCTCTCTGATGTAGCCTAAACGCGCCTCTGTCAGACTCTGCTTATACGCTTTGCTTTGCATAATGCGTAATAACAGAAATGAGTTCAAACCCCCCAAACAACGCAGTGCGCTGCGCGCGCGCACCGACATCCAATCAAACTAACAGTGCCCACTCACCTTGATGATCGGGTGATTCAGAACTGGTTTAGCACATCTGTCCACGTCAGTCTTTTTGAAAGTTTGGAGATCCGTTAAGTAAATACTAATATATTTAAATATTTTTAAGCTCTGATGAACACAAACAGCATCCTATGCGCACTGATCTTCTTCGCTCTTGTGCCACAAGTGTCTTCCTATTCGATTTCACAAGGTTGGAGATTTACAAGGAGCGCGCACATGAACGCGGAGAGTGAAGGTCTGACTGGGTTATGTGCCGCCGCGCGTGTGTGAAGCAATCTCACCCTGATTGCTGAATGCATGTAAAGGCGGTCCATTAGTCGCACTAGAGGGCGAGATCGACGAGCACTGCATTAAGGCGGCGTCCCACTAGGCATCTATTTTGGTTGGGGTGTCTCACCTGTTGACTGTTTTTGATGAAATCTCGCCACCTCCTGTCAGATGTCTGTCACACACACCGATTTTAGTGGGGAGATTCATAGCATGTTCTCTATTGCTAAAACAAATATTTTCCAAGAACGTTCCGTTTAAGTTAAAAAATTGTTATTTCTGAATATGGTCAGAACGTTCAAAATTTTTATTTTTTAATTTATTTGTTTATTTTATTTATAAAGAAAAAAATGTGGTTTTGTCTTAAATGCGAAGGTTAAGGAAACATTTAATTTCATCCTTTTGCAAACATAATGGGATCATTACAGTACTTTTGAATGTGCTCTTAATATTCTGGAACAATTTGTAGCTAGTTACATGTACAGTAAAATATTACGGTATTACAATACTGCATGGTGACTATATTTTACAACACTTGTAATTAGGTTGTTGTTGTTTTTTTTTTTTTTACTGTTTGACCTAACAGGCATGATGAACCTTACATTTGCCAGATATTTTTATCCAAAAGCGACTTGCGACTTTGCATTGCATTTTTAAGGTACACATTACATTCTTATTATCAGTTCTTCCAAGCGCCAATACTCTGCGCTTAACACAATCAGCATAACACGCATGACACAAATATTATGCTATAAACTTAGCAATAAAAATAAGCAAAACTATTTAAATAATATATATATAATTTGTCATAGGGACTTCTGGAAACATTTTTTTATATAAATTTGTCGCTATAAAGTTTACGGTAAGTAGCCCTCAATCGGGTCATGGGGTCTATACGACCCCAATCGACTTTTACTTAATAAAAAAGGTTCCCTTCATCTCAGTGGAATAAGATTTTGTGACTTTTCATACATTATCGATCTATACACTCACACAAAAAAACTGGGCTTGGTTCGGTTATTCTGAAGGTATGTAAAAAAATTTATGTGACCAATCAATATGACCCCACATTGAAATGAATGGGAAATGTTAAAAATAAAAAAAAATTTTAAAAAATAAATATTTTTTCTTCATGTGTCAAAAAAAATAAATCAATCTGGCATAAATCTGAAATTTTTTACACAGAAATGAAGGCCTAGTACTAGAGCATAAATGCAATGTATCATAAAAAAATAATATTTCATATGCAAGCTAATGGTGTAGTTGAGGAATTGTGTGGTATATGGATACAAAAGTACTTTATATCTCCAAAAACACAGCATTAATGAATAGACCATTTGAAGGTTAATAGTTTTTACTGGCAAAAAAATACATAGATTTGATGTTTTTTTTAAAAAAGTAATTCATTTGACATCTAACAAGGACAATCTGCTCAAACGGCTATCCAAGCTCCAAAATATGCTTTAATTTATCCTTCTGTAATTGTTATTCTAACATCAGGAGAGTTTTATATTATCGACGCACCAGGTCACCAAAGACCCGAATAGGATGACAAACATTTGATGACAAAAATGACAAACATTTTTAAAATATAATCTGTTTAGAATAATTGAAATAAAACAAACTGTTATGAACAATGGTTTGTTTGTCATTAAATAAGTTTAAAGTTTTGAGAGTTTGAGAGTCAATAAAGTCTTTGTAAAATGACCTTGTGGCTTGAGAAGACATAGGATATACCAGAGTCAAAACTGATGTCATGCAAACTTTAAAACCCTTTTTGGAGCTTGTATCTTTGTTTGCTTATTGACTTTGTATGTACAAAGCTAAAACATTCTTCAAAATATGTTCTTTCGTGACCATCATGTTTGTATTTGGCATATATAAAAGTGTAATAGAATTTTTTTTTTTTATTTGTGGACAGCGGACAAAACCAAATGAGTTGCATGAACAAGAACAATCTCAACTAAAACTATTATCTTACTATAAAGAGCTACTTCTCCGGAGGATTGCTACCTTTTTGGTGGTGGAGAGCCTTGTGTGGTCCTGTGATCCCAAGAGCAATGCTGTCTGGAGCTATGCTCCTGGTTGGGCCACCCATGCCGGTGTAAGGCTTTCTAAATCAAAGACGGTATTCGATCAGAGGCGAAGGCCTCACATATGTTCCGTCTTTCCCATGGCAAAGGGATTTTTAATTAAATGCAATACATTTTATCTTATGTATTAACTCGTTTCATCTGACTCCATGAAATGAAAAGATTTATCAATTATATCTGTGCATCATTAAATACACGTTAATGTTTGACTATTCCTTTTAACTGTAATGAAAATAAAGTCAAAGTCTGTTAGAATAATCAAATATAACAATTTATTATATCAGGTAAATGTATTATAACAATTCCATAATCAATTGAAAGATAATCAATATAAACCATCAAAGTTCAGAAACAAAGAGGAAAATCTTTTACCCGACATTGTATGCTACATGAGCTGAGAGTCGCGAGACTCTCAACCACACGGGCTGATCTGATACAGAAAAAGCAGCCTCGAGCTCTTGCTGCATTTTCCATATATAGCCAGATCTTATTTGATATGTAAAACATGAGTTGGAATTTACTCTTTTCCCCCACCATATATACTGGGGGAAGAAGTTGACCATCTGCTAAGAACAGTGGAAATTAGCATTCATGAATTTACACCTTTGGTACTGGAGACCACATTCAGGAATAACATTCCAGTAATTCCTAAACTCTTAAAAACCTTATTACCGTTTGTTTTACTCATTTGGGAATAAGACAATTATACCAGTCACCCTGAGACCTTTAAAATGATACTATAAACAATCCTTAATTATTCACATTAAAACCATATCAATTCTTGTGTGAGTGATCTCTGCAAGAATGGGGGATGCGGGGTGTGTCCTCTTCACGCAAGTGTCCTCTTTGGGAAACCACCCAAACACCCCAGTTTAAGTTGAGCAGCTACAACTGAGCAGCCCAGGCGTGCGTTTCCCGTACAACGACGCAGCTCAATATTTCACTACCATAGTACCATGCATCGTTAGAAAAATCAACTAGCTAGTCACGACTGTTTCCCGAAACCCACTGTCGCAAAGTATCGTTCAACCAGGTTGGTTTCGCATGTGGTGGAGTATAACTACTTTTAATGAAACTGTTTGAGATCCAATTAACACTAGATTTGTTTTATATAAATTACAGACATGTCATCTGAGGACTATTTCTAATTGTTCTCAGTTGTTCTGCTTTATTACCAGACTCAATATTTGGCTCGTTCTTATAGAGCACGTTCACACATGCGCACGCTTCAAACACGTTACTTCAAATCTTTTGAAAAACTAAAAGACGTAAATTCCATTTGTATGTATTCTAAATAAAAGGCACCGGTTGTAAAGCATCCCGACGATTTTCTAACGATGCTTTCGGGAAACGCACCCCTGTTTAGGATCCACTCTGCTCACCCCATGTGGGGAAAGGGCTAGAAAAGGTGCCCTTAAACTAGCCTGCCTCGAACCTCCCGACTGGATTACCTCATCCAGAGGGTTCACCATTCGTGGTCAGAAACACAAAACAATGAACTTTGGAGCCAGCCTGGAATGTACGCACACTGATGGGTAGTGCAATCAGTGATAGACCGGAGAGGAGAACTGCAGTCGTTGCTAGAGAACTGAGCAGATACTGGATTGATCTTGCCACCCACTTTGAAATCCGACTAGCAGACGAAGGACAACTGAAAGAGTTCTCCTGGCTACAGGTGGCTACACTTTCTTCTGGAAAGGAAAAGTTGCTGATGAGCCCAGGATACATGGTGTTGGAATTGCCATTAGAAACCAGCTTATCAGCCACCTCTATGAACTTCCTGTGGGGATTAGTGAGTGTATCATGGCCATCCATCTGGTGCTTGCCAACAACCAGATAGCAACAGTTGAGAGTGCCTATGCCCTTACTTTAGATTCTGAAGAGGAAGTAAAAGAGACCTTCTATGCCTGCTTAGATAAGATTTTGTCGAGAATTCCCAGGGAAGATAAGATTATTCTCCTAGGAGACTTCAGTGCCAGGTTTCAACACCTCTGGAAGGGCACTATAGGAAAGGAAGGCGTCGAGAACATCAAATCTATTGGAGCTAAGCTTCTCAGCAAGTGTGCTTAGTATGACCTCATCATCACTAACACTCTCTTTCGCCAGAAAAACAAGTTGAAGGCATCTTAGAGACACCCCCGCTCCAAACAGTAGCATCTCATTGAGTATGTCATTATACAAGCCAGGGACCGCCATTATGTGAACATCACAAGGACAGATCATCTCCTCATACGCTCCACAATGTCAACCAAACTCAAGAGGAAGAGGAGAGCTCAAAAGAAACAAATCCGACCAGGACTGAACCTTGATAACCTGGATGAAACTGCCATCCAGGCCAGGCACTTCAGGCCTCTCTTGGGGAAAGCCTCCAACAAGAACACCCTGATGACATTGAAGGACACTGAAATCTGTTTAAGTCTACCATCCTTGCTACCTGCAAAACCATTCTTGGGTACAAGTCTAAAAAACACCAGGCCTGGTTTGATGAAAATGACACAGAGATAGAACAAATCATTTCAAAGAAAAGGAAAACCTTTTGTGTCTGGCAAGGCCAAAAGGTTGGCTCAATTCCAGAGCCAAGGCAGATATCCGGGTGAGAGAGTTAAAGAGCTCTGGAAATCCAGAGACTTGCAGACTTTAGTCATACCAGAGGCTTTTTCAATGCTACCAAGGCCATCTATGGTCCAAGTTATCGCGGTAACCCCAATGTGCACAAAAGATGGGAAGGAGCTGCTGAAGGAGAATGAGTCCATTAATGCCCGATGGAAGGAGCACTTCCAAGAACACCTCAACAGTGACAGCACAACGGAAATAGACATTATCAGAGTTAAAAAAAAAACAAACGACATTCAACTGTCATTCTACCGCTTTCCCTGTGACGAGAAAGATACGAGAAAATGGCTGCAGTTGATAAGGTAAGTTACAGATCTTAAACGAATGAAGAAACTTTGGCGGCAGTGGGTATCCCTTAATACCTAACACCCACTGGTGCTGAAGTG